AAGAATAAGAAATTTCTACATGGCAAAAGACACAGTAATTAGTGTGAATTGACAGCCTTCAGAATGGGAAAATATTTTTGTAAGCTATGCATCAGATAAGGGGCTGATAACCAGAATACACAAGGAACTTAAGCAGCCGCAGCCGTTCCAAAAAAAGATGATCAAACGTATTAAAAGATGGGAGAATGAGTTGAAAACAACACTACCTAAGTTGAAAAAAACACTCTCTAAGGATGAAATGTGAATAGCCAAAAGGCATATGAAAAAATGCTCAACATCCCTCATTGTAAGGGAAATGCAGATCAAAATAACAATGAGATAACACCTAATCCTAATCAGAATGACTAAGATTAAAAAAAAAAAAAATTACAAGTGCTGGTGGGGATGTGGTGAAAGGAGAACTCACTTACAGTGCTGGTGGGAATATTGGTCCAGCCACTGTGGAGAACAATTTGGAGATTCCTCAAAAATCTACAAATAGAACTACCATATGATCCAGCAATCCCACTTTTTGGTATCTACCCAAAGGACAGAGGAATTCTTAATCAGAAAAGTGCTTGCTCATTGATGTTTATTGCGGCACTATTCACAATTGCTAAGACCTGGAACCAACCCAAATGCCCACGAATAGATGAATGTGTAGAAAACTGTTTCATATATACTCTATAGAATACTATTCAGCCAGAAAATACAAGACCCGGGCTTTTGACAGAAAGTGGAAGAATATGGAAGATTTACTGCTGAGTGTAGCAAGCCAGGCTATGAAGGAGAGACATTGTATGTCCCCACTTAACATATTCTGAGTGTCCGCACCCTGTGACAGAAACTGATTGACTAAAGGATATAGAAACACAGTAAATGGATGTGAATACCACATATAGTGTGTGAAAGAGTAGATTCTGAGGAAGGATATTTAGAAGAAAAATACAGAGGCAAAGCATTAATGGGACAAAGAAATATGGTATTATCTATTGATGATAATTTTATAGTTTTATCAACTGGACTAGGGAGAAATGTTCACATGCTGGAATTTTCACTTTTAAGCTAAGTAACGTGATTGAATGTATAAAATAAAATAAAAAATATTTAAATAAAAAAGAACCCCCAAGCTCCTAATCCATTTTGTACATTATAGTGCTATATAAACTTCAAATACCTCACCCTTCATTTGAGTCCCATACTTTTGGGGCCCTTGTGCATATCCATGCATCAATAATAAACTTGTACAGTTTATATCTTGAAAAATAAAAATTCTCTCAGCTACTGTGTTTGTGCTGATTATGCCACAGACTGTCCAAAGTTGTTTTTCTTGAACAATATAATAATGCACTGGATAGCAGCATTTCAGTAATATACTATATGTATTAATGTGGTCTAAGAATATTATAATGAAACCCCAAACTTTCTGTAACCTAGCATGGTTGTAGCTATCAGAACCTTTAGAGTAACACATTACCCACATGTTTTTGGTAATCCTGGTGTAAATAAACCTACTGTGCTGTCAGTTGAATGTAAGTATGCACATACAATTATACTCAATAAATGTATACATATAAAGATAAATACAAATAAATATATTTGGATGTATATATTTCCATTTTGAAATTATGATTCCTGGTTTACAAGAAATCATTGTATACCTTTGACCTTTGTGCAGTACAAAAATTCAAAAAATTTTTTTATTTACTTATCTATTTATTTATTGTCATTTTGAGCCATCGGGTCTTGAAGCATGGTCAGTCACGTGGGAAATTCCAAACACTACTGCTGGCTTATGGCTTTTTATGTTACAATTTCATTCTATTCTGCTTTTTGTGTCTTTTGCTGGGCAAAAATATTTTATCTTGTGTAATCATGTTTCTCTATTTTTGGTGGTTTTGTCCATGTGTTATGGGTCTCATGTAAGTAGTCTTGCCCACTCCAATGTGTATTGTTCTCCTACATTTTCTTCAGTAGGAAATAGGTTTATCAATAGGTTTATAGATTTGACCATGATATTGAAGTCTTTAATTCATTTTGAGGTCATTGTAACTGGTAAATGATCTAGTTTCACTCTAATGTTGGTGGATATTTAGTTCTCTCAGAACCATTTATTGAAAACTTTTTCATAGAGGTCTTTCACTTTCTTGGTGAGATTTCTTCCAAATATTTTTTACGGTTATTGTGAATGGGATTGCATTCTTCATTTCTCTCTCAGTTTATTCATGGTTAGTGTAGAAAAATGCTACAGATATTTTTAATTACCCAAGAGCTTATGCACTTTCTAGATGATGGAGAGATGGAGATTCAGGGACAGAAAGCGCCTCACCGTGGGACATAAAATGACCATTGTGGACTATAAACCTACCTGGGAACTACCCTCTGGACTTAACTGACATTGCCAGAATCCTCGGGATGCTACAATCCCTTTCCTCCAATTCTCCTTTCCATCAGTATTTTGGACACATGCACACATACACACACTCAATGTTTTTCCCAAGCCCACAGGGCTTAGACTCAAACCACAGGTGGTTATGTGGGACCTGGCTCCCTATACATAGTATTTAACCACTGTGCTATGGGGATAGCCTACTGCAGATTTTTGTATGCTGGATTTGTGTCTTGCAACTTGACTGCATTTGTTCATTTCATCTAAGAGGTATTTGGTGACTTTTTTTTTTTTAGATTTTTCTATATATTGAGTTGTAGAAAAACATAGAAAAAAATAACTTTTTTGATAAACCATTATATAATCATATCAGCCACAAATAGGGACAGTTTAATTTTCTTTTCACTAAGAGGTTTTTTGGGGATTTTTTTTTTTTAGATTTTTCTATATATTGAGTTGTAGAAAAACATAGAAAAAAATAACTTTTTTGATAAACCATTATATAATCATATCAGCCACAAATAGGGACAGTTTAATTTTTTCCTTTCTGATTTATATGCCTTTTATCTTGTTTCATCTGACTGTATTAGCTAGTACTTCCAGTATCTATGTTGACTGAGAGAGAAGAAAGTGGATATCTCTGTCTCCTTCTCATTTGAAGTTGAAAAAGTTTCCACTTTTCCCCCATTCAGTAGTATGTTAGCTGCAGAAATGTCATATATGGCCTTTATTTGGTTATGAAATGTACTTTCTATGCCTATTCTGTTGAGTCTTAATCATGAAGGACTATTATATTTTATCAAATGCTTTTTATGTGTCAATTAATATGATCATGTTTTTGTCATTTCTTCTCTTAATGTGACCTATTACATTTATTGTTTTTTGTTTTTAAATAATTATTATTATTTA